GTAGGCAAGGGTAAACACGTAGGGCGTTAGTTGTAGGCAAGAGTAGTCAAGTAGGGTGCCAGTTGTAGGCAAGGGTAAACACGTAGGGCGTTGGTTGTAGGCAAATGTAGTCACGTAAGGCGTTAGTTTTAGGCATGCAAGGGTAGTCACGTAGGGCGTTAGTTGTAGGCAAGGGTATAGTCAAGTTGGGTGCCAGTTGTAGGCAATTGTAGTCATGTAGGGCGTTGGTTGTAGGCAAAGGAGGTCACGTAGGTTGAGGTTGTATGCGACATATAGGGACAAACACGTGCGATGTAAGGTGCATATATATAAGATGGCAAGATCTGAGATCAGCGTTCGCGCGGCGCGAAGTATAACCGACGGCGGCGCCCCCGCACCAGTACGCACCCACGACGATGTTTGAGACGGCCGTCGTCGTGCCGAAGTACGACTCGAGGTACTTTGGCAGGAAGGCGAAGTNTTGCTTAGCCGCGAATGCTCCGGCTTGCTAAGCGCGGAATCATATTCCGCGCCAACTAAGCCGCGTATTGATTGTCGTGTGAACCTAGACTGCTACCCGTTCGCTGCACGACGTTAGGGTAGCGTGTGGAACTGTCGACCGGGTACCAGTCTATATTATACCGCGCTAGCTAAGCCTCGAATCTCGTGTATCTCGTGTGAACGCATTTTAACCGGACTTAGCACCAACTAAGTACGGTACCTGCTAAGCCGTGTATACGTGTGAACGCAGCTACACCGGAACCCATCTCTAACCAGACAGACATAGAGACAGGTAACCCAGACAGAGCGACCTCGAGGCTCCGCTCAGCGGCACGAATCGTGTGAAGACGTGTGAAGGTCTATTCTTGCTACCACATGCATAAACAATAACAACATTAGCTGATGTGTTTCATGCACAAAGACCCCGGTCGTAGAAGACTCGTGTATCACACAGCTCAGCCCATTAAACCTGTTTTTGCTGTCCAAGCTATATATAGCAGCTATTACAAGAATAAGCTGCTGGCAATGTAATTTTAAATAGGAGTTTGAATTCTTAAAACTTATGTAAACTACCTGTTTAAAAAAAAAGAAGCGCAATATCTTTGCCTGGGTGCCCGGATAGGTTAGGATGCGGTCATCCCGGGATGGGGCCTTTCGTTCGGATTCACAGCGGTATACCCCAATGCTAAAACAAATAACAATAAATGACATTTATTGAAGACAATTGGTTGTTGTCATCTATACTATGGATAGTCAGTGGTTCAAGGGAAACCATACGTGGCACGCGGACTGGGCGCCTACCATAGGCCACCTATGCCTGGTTTTAGGCTAAAGATCGAAGCTTTCATTTACCACAACGAAATTTGTAACAAAACTACGGAAACACAGAATTTCTCAAGGTTCTCGGGTCAGCAGTCCACAAAGAAATAAAAACGCAAACTCCGTCTACTTTATCGAAATTAAATGCATGTCCTGAATATAATGAATCGTCACGTCCCGTCGACGCCAGCGAGGATTCGCACTCCCTGCCGACGCCTCTGATCACTTTCCCTCGGGACTCCGGTGGAGACCCCGCCGGTGGCTCCCCCACGCTCGCCCGCGCGTCGTGCGATGACCGGGATTCTCGAACGTTGATCGCTGCTCGTCTCCGGCGCAAACATGTGTTCGCTCGCGCGACGGGAGGCGCCGACACTGCGAGCGGAGGTTCGAAGACCGCTCGCGTGTCCGCCGTCGCTTCCGCGTGTGACCAGCGGACGGGGCGCGACCGCCAGGAGGTGGCGAGACTCGTGGACGACAGCGGCGGCGGCGGCGGGGGAGACTTCCGTGGGAGCACGATCGCCGCGCCGCTCGTTAGCGCCGAGGACGAGCGATGCTGCACGCGGGGTCTCGTCGGGCGACTGCGCGCGCGCATCCCCGCGCTGCTCCTCTGCGCGACCGCCGCGGACTTTGCGTCGACGGCGGCCGACCGCGGCTAGGCGTGCGGCTACAGGAACGCTCAGACGTTGCTGTCGTCGGTCGCGCGCTGGCCCGGCGTCGCGGCGCGCGCGTTCCCCGCCGCTGCCGCCCGCGTGCCGACCGTAGCCGAGCTCCAGCGCGAGATCGAGGCCGGCTGGGCGGCGGGGTTCGACGCGGTCGGGCGGGCGGAGCTCGGCGCGCCTGGATCGGCGCCACCGAGGTTGTCGTCGCGCTCGCGCGCCGCCGCCTGCGATGCGACGTCGTCGACTTCCACGCGGCGACGGGCGCCGGCGGCACGCACCCGCTACTCGTAGACTACGTACAGCGCCACTTCGCCGCCGCGATGGAGGAGGGTCGGTTCGTGCCGCCGCTGCACCTGCAGCATAGCGGTCACAGCCGGACGGTGGTGGGCTGCGAGCGGCGAGCGGTCGGCGGCGTCCACTTGCTCGTGTTCGACCCGAGCGCGAGCCCGGAGTCGGTGCGTCGCGCCGCGAGCAGCGCCCCCTCGCTGCTGAAGCTGCTGCGGCGGTCTGCGCGGACGCTGAGCGCCCCGCAGTACCAGCTCGTCGTCGTTCGCGGCGTCATGACGACGGAGGAGGAGTACGAGGCGGCTAAGCAAGGTGGGAATCTCGTGCGCATTCCCTAGCAGCAGCCACCGCCCACTGCCGTGACGCCCCGACTCAACCTTACCTCGCGGGGGACTCCGAGGGACTGTATATATATATACCGAAGACAGAGCGAGCGAGAATCGATCCTATCGATACATTGTCAGTGTATATATATACTAAAACTGTAAGAGTGAGTCGATCATATCGATTCATCGGCCCTGTATACGGACGACGGAGAGAGTGAGAGTCGTTCATATCGATACATCGGCAGTGTATATATTAATAAAAAACCAGTAAGAGTGAGTCAATCATATCAATACATCAGCAGTGTATACGGACGACAGAGAGAGTGGGAGTTGATCATATCGATAGATCGGTACAGCGGATTGTAGTGGAAAAAGTTAAAACGATTTTACGATCAATCAGGGTAGGTTTACTCACGGGAGACGGGAATTTCTAAATGGAACTTTTTCGACCAGATGTGTTATTTCCTTGGACGCTTTCAATCGATTGGTGCTTCGGGTTTTTAAAGATATTATTACATATCTGCTTGAATGCTATCGACCTATGTTATGCATAGGATGATAGGGTGTATATTATATCATTAATTATTTTCTGATGCATATATTCATGATTGTATTATATATTTTATTTTCCATTGCTTTTATATAAATAGGTCTAAACAATGTTTAAATAAATTTTAATAGCACAATCCTATCATTTTACTGTTATCGATATTTGTCCAGGGTTCGAAAATTAGGCATGGAATTGTGCTAATTGTGACTATAAGTTTATAACGACCTCAAACTCCCCTCACTACAACATTTTAGCGATCGGTCTTTTTTGCTGTGAATCCATGATTTTCCACCCACTCTAAATTCTAATAAATGTCAGAGTATATTATAACAATATAGGACTCTATAAATGCTCTCTATAACTTACATGCAATGTGCGCAGAGAGCTCGTTTACATACAGTGATACACTGCTCGCTTGCGTTTTTAATTTTGACCTTGAATTTATAAACTGTTATGTTATGAATGTATAAACTGTTATGTATAAACTGGGTGTGTGAATTTTTCTAGCATCTTGCCTAAAAACTTAAAAAGTTAGTCGTGACAAATGTTTGTCATTATTAACCCATGATACTATTGTACTCATATCTATGTATATATGATCAATAATACCAACTTGTAACACAGGGTTCTGAATTTGACGGTAGACATGGATATTATGAATCATAATGCGTTTTATTAGATCAGTGTTTAAACGTACAGTTATTTACAAAAAGTTACAAAGAGTTTTCATGGCCACAGGTTAGGCATAGATTCAAAACACACACAAAATCACAAACATAACACAGTCCGGTTGTTTACCTTAAAGATTTCAAGACTTTTTTAATTAATTCCTAGTCCAGCTTCCACTTTGGAAAGAAACTTTAACAGTTGAGTTGCATTAGTTGGTATCCCGCACTGCTCCAGTTCACATGTGTGCAGTGTGCTCGCTTGTTCACAGAGCCAAGCTGATAGTCAGGGGGCAGATATCCAAAATAAGGATGAGCCTAAACTTTTTGGGTAGAGGCTGGAAACGGGTAAATATCATTTCTATGATACCTGGGGAGTTCCACTGGGTATGTTTCCAGGCTGACTTTTGCGTATTGTGGCGGCCATCTTGAAATCCAAAATGACCGCCAGCGAAAATGAATTTTCTGAAATATCTGGACTCCCAGATATTGTAGAGACATAATGTTGGTGGCTATACCCACATTTTCGATAGTGGAGAACCCAATTATCACACTTAGAAAAAACATAGGATGGCGGCCATATTGGATTTCAATATCGCCGCCAGTGAAATTTGTTTATTTTGAATAACTAGACTCCAAGACGTCGTAGAGACATAATTTTGCTGTCTATTCCCACATTTCAGATAGTGGAGAACCCAGTTATGACACTTAGAAAAGCATAGGATGGCGGCCATATTGGATTTCAATATCGCCGCCAGTGAAATTTGTTTATATTGAATAACTAGACTCCAAGACGTCGTAGAGACATAATTTTGCTGTCTATACCCACATTTCAGATAGTGGAGAACCCAGTTATGACACTTAGAAAAGCATAGGATGGCGGCCATCTTGGATTTCAAGATGGATCTATGACGTCTATGACGACAATTATGTCTCTACGACGTCTTGGAGTCTAGTTATTCAATATAAACAAATTTCACTGGCGGCGATATTGAAATCCAATATGGCCGCCATCCTATGTTTTTCTAAGTGTCATAACTGGGTTCTCCACTATCTGAAATGTGGGTATAGACAGCAAAATTATGTCTCTACGACGTCTTG